TGCACATAGAACCACCTGGGAATCTGGTTAAAATCCTGATTTCTGGCCTCCTCATTAGTAGCAAAGAAACAGAATTTCCGGAGGATGAGGCCCAGAAATCAGGATTTTAACAAGACTCCCAGGTGATTCTAATGTGCAGCCAAGGTTGAGAACCACTGACATAGGGCATAGCTGCACCTGTTAAGTTGCTTTCAGCTGGAAATGACAACACTCGAACAGGCCTAAACAATAAAGACGAAGGTGAGACTTCAGGGTCGATGGGTCCGCTGGCTCAGGAAGGACCCAGGTGCCCTTGTCTGTGTGGCTCTGGGTGGCTTTCAGTCCTGAGCATTGGCTTCCTGCTATGCCTCCATCCCTCCAGGCCCGAGGATGGCTGCCAGGAGTCACCAGAGCCACAGCGTCCTTGTTTCCCACCCAGCGAAAGCGCACACCTGTGCCTCAACCACCAAACGCGCACCCTTCCCTTAAATCTGATTTGAGCTCGTTTGGGTCATATGCCAGGCCCTGAACCAATAACTGTGTCTCTGGGAAATGCCACGCTCTCCCTGGCCTGGGTCCCCACCCCTGGAGCTGAGGTCTGTCGCTGTGAAGCCCCCTGTGTCCCCACGGCTCAGGGGAGTGGGAAGAGTCCACTGCAGCCTCTGCTGCATCAGCCCTGCTTTCTGAGAGGTGCCAACAGGAATTCATGTCTACGTGTGCCCTACAGTGGCTGGTCTTAGGGCGTGCACACTTGGTAACAGGTGGTCTCTTGAAGTATTAAATTCCCCTCCTGCACGTTTAAAGCAAATCGTCTTTAACATGACCAGAGAACACCGGGGTGAGTTTCCTCTGTGAACGTTGCCCCACAGCCTGTCCCCAAAGCAGAGCCGCTGCTTCCTCGGTGCTGCAACGCTGAGCTCACGTGGGCAGGAGAGGAGTAAGAGGTGAAAAAACCTGCAGAGCCTCGTGAGTGAAGCACAGGGGTCTTGGATTTACTGTCGTGAAAGGGAGCAAATGTTCGCACGGACGCAAAACCCTGCCATCCAGGAAGCTAAACGCCTCTCTCTTGCTCTTCCAGGCCACTGGGACCAGGTTGGCTTTAATGGCACAGAACACAGCCAACCTTGGGACTGGCATTATCATATCGTTTATCTACGGTTGGCAGTTAACTCTTTTGCTGTTATCGGTTGTTCCAATCATCGCTGTGTCAGGAATTGTGGAAATGAAAATGTTGGCTGGAAATGCCAAAAGAGATAAAAAGGAACTGGAAGCCGCTGGAAAGGTGGGTCACACAAGGCTTCCGTTAGCATGAGCATTGTGTTTGGACATGTGTTTTATGTGTTAGTATGAGCATTGTTTGTTGGCATGTTTTATTTGAATTATGTATTGCAACATGAATGTTTTAATAATTAATGTTTTAATGATTAAACGTTTGTGCTCACTACAGCTAATAATTGCCAGCACTGTGCATGAAATAGTTGACTGTATTAAGAATGCCTAGAACTTGAACATGGAATAGTGGAAAGCGTTTAGCCTGTAGAAAACACTTTACGTGGGGTCATTATAAAGAATTTCTGAATTTCCAAAGCTGATTTTACCTTTTACTTCATATCCTGATGCCATTGTTAGGACAAATATCACCCCTATTTTACAGATAGGGAGTCCTTAAAACAGAATGTAAGTGAGTTGTTCAAGCTAGGGTACTTGCTGATACTCAAAAGTTCTTTTCTTCTTGGCTGTGATTTCTGTAATTGAGGTGGACCGCCACCAGAGGGAAGCAATGCTTCAACTTGTGGTTCTAACTATAATGGCAATTGGGCAAACATTTGGTCTTTACTATGTGCCAATTATTGTTCTAAGTATGTATTTATGTGCACCAACTCATTATATCCTCACAATAATCCTACGAGGCAGGCACTCATGTTACCCCAATTTTACAGATTGGAACCTGAGAATCAAACAAGTGAAAGGCATGGCTGGGATTCAAATCCAGGCCTAATTTTGAAGCTCTTTATTACACAGCCCCTTTATATGTGTTTAAATGTGTCTAAGTCTACCCATAAATATTTTATTCACATGTACATGCATTTAAAAATTTAAATGTAGGTTACAGCCAGGGTATATTTTACTCTTACTTATGTAAATATTATCCTTTATTGAAACATTCGGAGGTGAAGCAGTCATGAATATATAGTGTGATAGTTTCTACAGCATGAGACTTTACAAAGCCCTTTCACAAATATTACTGCAACTGGCCTTTGCACAGTTAAGTGAGGTGGGACTGACAGTGTTTCCACCTCATAGGGCAGTGGTTCTCAACCTTGGCTGCACATTAGAATCACCTGGGAATCTTTTTAAAATCCTGATGTCTGGGCCTCACATCTCGATCCGCATATTAATGGGTTCCCTGCACTCTTCTTCTGTTTATCTCTCTTTTTCTCTATATATACCTCAAATAAGAAGTTAATTATATGAACATCGCTTTACTATTACCACCTTCTATTTTTCTTTAGCTTCCTTTACAAGGAGGAAAAAAAATGAGGATACAAGTATCGTTGCGCGGGGAGA